ACACCCCTCACACGTTTCGCGGCCCCACATGGGGAGCTCCACCGATGTCTCAGTGATGTGGGTGTGCCCGCATGCCGTCCCACCACCCATTTCGGGCCCACCCCTCCACACGTTCGTGGCCCCATAGGGAGCTCCCACCGAAGGGCCCCAGTGGGTGTGCCCGCGGATATGCGTCCCCGCACACCCATTTCGGCACACCCCTCATACGTTTCGTGGCCCCATAGGGAGCTCCACCGAAGGTCCCAGTGGGTGTGCCCGCATGCGTCCCGCACTCCCATTTCGGCACATCCCTCACACGTTTCGTGGCCCCATAGGGGGCTCCACCGAAGGTCCCAGTGGGTGTGCCCGCATGCGTCCCGCACACACATGTCGTCCCACCCCTCACACGTTTCGTGGCCCCATAGGGAGCTCCACCGAAGGTCTCAGTGGGTGTGCCCGCATGCGTCCCGCACACCCATTCCGGCACATCCCTCACACGTTTCGTGGCCCCATAGGGAGCTCCACCGAAGGTCCCCGTGGCGCAGTCCACATGCGTCTCCTTTGCCCAGTACAGCGTTACGTGGCCCCATATGGAGCCCCACCGCAGGTCCCAGCCAGCCTGCTAGCTCTCTTTGCTCCGCGCAGCGGGCGACCCGCGCGCGTCGCTGGGACTCCTCCGGGGCGACCTGCGCGCGTCGCGGGGGCTCCGTGCTGCGTTCCGCCCAGCGCCTCGCTCGCCCGTCGTCGCTCTGCCCAGCGGCAAGAGCCTTGCCCGCTATCAGCCATCCAGCTAGCTCTCTTCGCTCCGCGCAGTGGACGACCCGCGCGCGTCGCTGGGACCCCTCCGGGGTGACCTGCGCGCGTCGCGGGGGCTCCGCGCTGCGCGGCTCCCGCAGCCTTGGACTTTTGAGTGCGCGGGCAAAGAGGGAGTAAAGGAAGGGGAGGAAGCGGGCGCGATCCTCGCGGGGGGGCGCGCCGACATTGGCGTCGCGGCGCGCGGGCGATGCCGTCGGGGAGTCCCGGGGAAGCTCCTTGCGGCGGCCACGCCCAGCGTCACGAGTATTCAGAGGCAGTCGTTGTCAAACTATTGACTTTCATACACAATTGCGCCACGCTTTGTCATATTCGCATTCATGCACGTAGACTCGTTCGCACGCAGATTCATTCACAGTCAGACGCACGCGCGCAGATTCACCCGCGCTCAGTCTCCCTACGTACTCAGATCAATCGATTTCGTTCGCGTTGTGTACCACGCCACTCATGTCGGCACACCCCTAGCACGGTTCGTTGCCTCATAGGGATCGCCACCGAAAAAGTGAATCACTATTGCGGTACTCACACCTGTATATGGTTGGGTCCCTCGTCAGGCTAATTTTTCTATGTGAAAACACACGATGTTAATTGGTGTTCCTGTTTTTCCTGTTTTCTCCTCTTCCGCTCTGCTGCGAGGGAGGGCCGTGAGCCGCTCAGAGACCCCAGGGCGCTGAGGGGAGGAGAGAGGAAAGAGGAAAAACATGACAAACCTTTTGCTTTCACATGGAAAAACAGGATAAATTAGCCTGACGAGGGACCCAACCATATGCAGGTGCGAGTACCGCAATAGTGATTCATTTTTTCGGTGGCGATCCCTATGAGGCAACGAACCGTGCTAGGGGCGTGCCGACATGAGTGGCGTGGTACACAAAGTGAACGAAATCGATTGATCTGAGTACGTAGGGAGACTGAGCGCGGGTGAATCTGCGCGCGTGCGTCTGACTGTGAATGATCTGCGTGCGAGCGAGTCTACGTGCATGAATGCGAATAAGACAAAGCGTGGTGCAAATGTGTATGAATGCCAATAGTTTGACAACGACTGCCTCTGAATACTCGTGACGCTGGGCGTGGCCGCCGCAAGGAGCTTCCCCGGGACTCCCCGACGGCATCGCCCGCGCGCCGCGACGCCAATGTCGTCGCGCCCCCCCGCGAGGATCGCGCCCGCTTCCTCCCCTTCCTTTACTCCCTCTTTGCCCGCGCACTCAAAAGTCCAAGGCTGCGGGAGCAGCGCAGCGCGGAGCCCCCGCGACGCGCGCAGGTCACCCCGGAGGGGTCCCAGCGACGCGCGCGGGTCGTCCACTGCGCGGAGCGAAGAGAGCTAGCTGGCTGGCTGATAGCGGGCAAGGCTCTTGCCGCTGGGCAGAGCGACGACGGGCGAGCGAGGCGCTGGGCGGAACGCAGCACGGAGCCCCCGCGACGCGCGCAGGTCGCCCCGGAGGAGTCCCAGCGACGCGCGCGGGTCGCCCGCTGCGCGGAGCAAAGAGAGCTAGCTGGCTGGCTGGACCTGCGGTGGGGCTCCATATGGGGCCACGTAACGCTGTACTGGGCAAAGGAGACGCATGTGGACTGCGCCACGGGGACCTTCGGTGGAGCTCCCTATGGGGACACGAAACGTGTGAGGGATGTGCCGGAATGGGTGTGCGGGACGCATGCGGGCACACCCACTGAGACCTTCGGTGGAGCTCCCTATGGGGCCACGAAACGTGTGAGGGGTGGGCCGACATGTGTGTGCGGGACGCATGCGGGCACACCCACTGGGACCTTCGGTGGAGCCCCCTATGTGGCCACGAAACGTATGAGGGGTGTGCCGAAATGGGTGTGCGGGACGCATGCGG